GACTCTAAAAAATCTGAAGCCCAATTCAACATACTATCCAATTATTAAAGATTCGGATGTAACCTCCATCTGTTTAACAATTGGGTTGCATGTGAATTTTACTCTCATTTATATAAATTTATTATATATGTAAGAATTAAAAGTTTTTAATTATTTTAAAACTCTTTAAAAATTCCTTTATTATAAACAAAATAAAGTGGATTCAGATTAAAACTAAATCTATATATAGAATCTGGTGTGGTTGGATCCAATTCAATTACAGTCCTACCCTCTGGATAATCAACCTAATACCAACATTGGGTTTGGGTAATGGCTCTCAAATTGATGGACACCCTTTAGTGAGTGTGGGCTTGGTTTTGCTTAAGCCATTTTCATCGCATGTTAGGGCAATAACCACATCTCCGTGACAAGAATGAGAATGTATGTTCAAATCTTAGAGGGGTTAGTAGGGGCCGACTTCCTCAATTGGAAGGATCTCTGGCTAACAACAATTTGGCTGATGTTTATCAATGTTCAACAATATATGCTGTCTACAACTTGTGCTCAAGGCATGGCCAGAATGTGAAAAGAGCAAGCCTGTTGAGAGAAGAAGCTGTTAACATGGACAGCCAAGATTCTCCTCTAGCTGGTTGTAGGAGTTCTGATTTTTTCCTCACACTGACCTTAGTACCTTATATTGTCTTGGCCGCACATCAGGAACATTCCCCGTACTTGTATTTATTATTCATGGGGAGATGTTCCTAATACATGATGTGATGTGGCTGTGAGGTTAGTGTGAAGAGTGCTCTGTGAGGAGCAGATCCCAATTCAGTTGTAGTGGAAACTTGTATGTCCATACCCCTCCCAAGACCCCAGGTAGCCAAGACCAACAAATGTTTCAAGACTCGGCCCGGACTGGATGATTAATGGACCATGAAAATTAAGAACTGGTGGCCTTTGTGGGTCCCATTAAATGATGGTTTTGGTCCCGTTAAAACACCTAGTTTTTAGTCCGGTCTAAGTCTTAAAACACAAACACCTTAGTAATTAATTAATAGCTCTTAGGTTCATGGATATCCTCTGGGGGAGCAACTAATTATATATGATAATTTTAATTCTTCAAGTGAAGGTTCGAAACTTCGATATATATCGGGCCGTATTGGGGGCTTCCCGATGCACCCTTATAGGGAGTGTTTCGGGGTTTAACCCGGTTCAGGGGATAGACAGGCCTTAAACCGACCCCTCTAAACCATATTAAAAAAAACTAAAAAAAAGGAGAAATCAGCTTCAATACAGGCCGATATGCCTCGTATCGATATTTTGAACCTTGCTCTAAGTTAAGGTTTATGTTTTGCTAAGATCCATTAAACATACAACTAAAATTATGCATGTTTGGATAATTTGGAGGTGTTTGGCAATATGGTTGTTTATGCTTGTAATGGTTTTCAAAATTTCACCATTGTGAAACACAAATTTCTATTTTGGGACATTGTTTTGGTTTTCATTTTGATCAAACACACTAGATTTTGTTTTAAGAAATTCATGTATCAGTATTTTAAAATCCATTTTGGAGGTTGGACCACTTTTACTTCTTGGTTCATGCATGCATCAGCAGTTCAATCGTCTGGATCAACAATTCAACCATTTTGGAGGTTGGACCACTTTTACTACAAACCCATTAAATGGGTCAGATGGTCCAACAATTCAACCATTTACGTTGATGGTTTATTTTGTATAGTGGGTTAGAACTTGGAAGTTGGTCCATGCTGGGATTGTAACCACATCACTGGTCCGACCTGTTGGGTCAATGTAGATGTACGCGTAGAGGAGCCAGGGAAAAAGTTACTTCATAAAACAATGGGGGGCTTTTACCATTCAGCTTATCCTTAGAAATCTTAATTCCAGAGTACAGGTGGAATGAATCCTGACCATGGATCGATGCCAAATTTACAGATATGATGCGGTCTATAAGGGACTACTAATAGACTAGGAGGGGCTGTAATTTCAGATTTTTTAGGGGAAATGCAGTATACTTATCCCTAAAACAAATAAGAGAAAGGTTTTCTCTCTCAGATGCTGATGTTAATTAGCAAAAAGACAATATAAAAAACAAAGTTGCAACGAAATATCCAAGGACACTTTATAGGCTGTATTTGTTTCCAGAGAGAAATATTGATATGGAAAAATTGTGGGATAATTTCTAATGGATTCCGTAAAATGGCTTAGCAGTTTAGCTCTATTTGTTTGCAGTGGAAATCTGAATCAGATACAAAATTTGCAGCAAGTTCAGTTTTACATTTGTTTGTTTTATAATCACAATTATTTCTCAGATGCAAAATTTGTTTTTTTATTTTATTTTATTTGTGTTTATTAGCAGTGCAAATTTTGCTTCTCAAACACTGTTAAAAAATTTGCACCACCTTTCTCTTATCTCAATTCTCTCTCATATAAAATGGGGACCACACCATCTTTATTCCCACCTGATTCCCAAACAAATAGCCTTCCTACTTTCATTCTCTTGCATATAAGGTGGGACCACACCATTTTATTTCTCACAAACAAGTAACCATAATTTACACTCAGCCTACATTCATGCCAGTGCAAATAAAATTCAAACTGCAACCAAACACAGCCTTAATGATGTTTTCACAAGGGTTCGGATGTAGTAGGCACGTTAGGTAAGCACAATGAGTGAACACCTAATAGCTGTGTTACATCTGTCCCAGTTAATGTGCCTTTATTCTAAACGTTTTTGTTCCCTTAGAAATTATCTACTATTTTATTATTTGTGTCAAAATAATTAAAAATAAAAAAAACAATAAAAAAGAAAAACCTGTCCGAGTTAATGCGCCTTTCTCTCCAACCTTCTACCGTTTTGGGTTCTCCCACCTCTTTACCTTCAGCCGCTCTTTGAATTGCCCAAACATTGATGAAGACTCTGGTTTTAGCTGGGATATGGTAGCCATTAACATTGGTAGCTCTAATGGACTCTCTTGGAATCAAAAAGGGAGCAGGAGGATGTAATCTTAGAGTCTCTTTGATAACAGCTTTTAAATAAGCCATTTGAGGAATACCATCTTCTTCAAACTTGGATTTCTTACCCACAACACGTCTAACTTCTCCTTGCTGCTCGGCCATTGGAATGCTCCAAGTGGCAGGGGTTGGCAGGATGCAGGTCGACTGCTCAGTCATTGGAATGCCCCAACCAACCAGTTGCAGCGGCTGAAGGTCAAGAGGTGGGAGAACCCAAAAGGCAGAAGGTTGGAGAGAAAGGCACATTAGTTGTAATAGGTTTTTCTTTTTTCTTTTTAATTATTTTAACACAAATAATAAAATAATAGATAAACCCTAACGGAACAAAAACGTTTAGAAAAAAGGCACATTAACTGAGACAAGTATCACACAGCTACACAGCTATTAGGTGTTCACTCCGTGTGCTTACCTAACGTGTCTATTACATCCGGATCCTTTTCACAATTTTTGCAATTTCAATAATTATCTTTGAAGACAGCCTTACTGACATTTATTTGAGAAAATGACTCTTGCTTGAAACAACCTGCGGGACCAATTTTTTGGAATCAAACATTAAAATAAAACAAAACCCAATATTGCCACAGCCCACAGGCCTCCAAGTAATTAATATATATTCTCATCAATTGGAGTAGGAGAAAGAATAGTTGCATTCATCGGAAAACTCTAAATTGCTACACCAACACAAGCTATCAGTATTGCATCCAATTAATGAATCTTCCTACTTGAAAGCTAAACTTAGTAAAGATGAAGAAAACACAACGATGGAAGCAAAAGAATCATAGGAAGAAGAGCATCCCAAAAAGAAAACCTGAAATGGTTATTCTCCCAAGCATCCCAGTTCTAAGATAAGCTTTAATGCTGCAGGTGTAGGCACATTGGGGAGCAACCAAAGGATAAAGTTGCAAGAAACTGCTGTCTCAGTGGGGCCAAATTGATTGGTTGGCGTTAGATACAAGTGATTGAAGCATGTCACAGAGAGAGAGAGAGAGAGAGAGGGGGGGGGGGGGCTGATCTTAGCAAAAAAGAGTGGTACAGTAGAAAAAAGTTTTGGTGGACAGAAGCAGAATAAATGGTAAGATGCTCACCTTTACAAGTTTACTGACACTGGTTGATGATGAACAACAACTGAAGCTTTTAGTTGGTCAGATGACTTTTTTTTTTCCTTTTCTTTGGTGGGGACCCAAATTCCATAGTAAATTCTTTGAATAGATATTGGAAGATGGATTCGGTCAGCTCAAATTCATAAATCAAATAAGGGTAGGAATCCCTGACTGAGAACTCCATGCCTCTGTAAATCTGCATTATTGAATGTAGCAACGGGTCTCATTCGGATCCAAGAAAATCCAACGCAGATCCCAAAATTATTATTACAAAAACCAACAAAGATCAAGATTAGATTCAGCATGGTCAACCCGGATTCATGACTGTCGCTCTGTTCAGGTTGGCATGGTCAAGCCTATAAACTAGTATTTTCCTCTAAGAAAAGGTCATAGGAGAGAGCTTTCATTTTCCTAATTTCCGGTCAGTAAGAGATAGAGAGAAGGAAGAAAAACAAGTACCTCATAGTGAAACACAAAAAGTTACCAACCAAGGGAAGGAACAAATCTCAAAATAGAAACAACATGGGAGGGCACGTGAAAGTATCAGTTACACATAAATATGAACTCTGAACAATGAATACTTCTTCCTCAGGTTATATTATTAATGAAAAGCAAGAGTGGTGGTGATGCCACATCCACATCCACTATCAATGCTTCTCTGCTTGTTTTTATTCCAAGATCCAACAAAACAAAGCCTCTGCTTTGAAAAGAAGCATTCTCTCTCTCTCTCTACTCTTTTTCTTTTTAATCTCTGATTCATAAATAGATTTCTTCTTGTCACTATCAATACATGTATAAAATATTATGTAGAGTAGTTTTTTTGTACAATTATGTTCAGACACATATATAATATTAAGTGTAAACAGTGCCAATATCTCTATCTGTGTATTGTTCTTGTTCTTCTATTGTTTTAGTTGTTTTTCGACCTATTTTTGGGAAGCGGCAATAAGCATAGGAATTCGGAACCAGACAGCCATCCCCATTTACCAATCAATAGAGCATAGGCTATGTACGATTCTGTAAATGAGCATACCTTTGTTGGAAATAGGAAGGACCACCAGAGAGAGAGAGATTTGAATTTTAGATTTATACTTTCTGAAATTTGGATTTGGACATAAATGACACAGGCACATGCATGGATGAGATGAACATGACAGCGCATGAGCATCATGGACTGAGATGCCATGCATCAAGGCTGGATGGAATTAGAAAGGAATTATATCGTTATTGGGGACATGCAGGAAAGGTAATCTGGGATGGAAACCAATCCGTGCAATTCTGAAGTTAGTGTGTGTGTGTGGGTGTGGGGTGGGGTGGGGGGGGGAGATGGGATTAGCCTAGTACTGCTTGCTTGTTTTCTTTCTCCTGCTCTCTTTCTATTTAGATAGCAGTTGAAGAACCAAAATTCAATAAACAGTGAGAGTGGTGAATGGGTTTGCTTCCTAAGTTATCCAACACCTTTTTCTCTGATGAGTGACGACCCACAATCATCTCCCCCAACCTTTCCTTTTCCATAATCAGCACCGGCCGTCTTTCTCTTTCTTTCTACATAATCTCTGATCATGGCCATTCCTTTTCTTTTCATCTACTCTGCACTTTTCTCTATGTGGAAATAATAGAGAAACGGAGAAGCCTGTTTGTCTTCTAATTAGGAACAGCCACGCCCAAATGCTACCCGAAGCTGTCTGCAACTTCAAGGCAGTATGTACAAAAATCCCATTACAATCTTAATTCCATACTTTGTATTGAAGCTAAGCTTTTTGTTTTGAATTTTATTTCTATTTTTTTTTTGTAAAATTTTAGGCAAGGATGAATGAGTAGCTATTGTTTGTTAGTGTTTGTTTATGTTTCTCTACTTGGGCTTATCRAGTTCTATTCCTCTGGCTTTTGGCTTTCGGTAAGATTAGATTTGTGGGTGGTGTGTAATTTTTCTTGTTAATATTGGGTTCTCTGTGTATTTATATGTATTTTATGATTTTGATCTATTTTTCTTTATATTAGTGGTTGTATTTTTCTGGGTTCTCTACCTTCTGGGTATCTAGTGTTGAAGGGCCATCTATTTTTACCATGCCTTCTCTCTAAAAGATTGAGGTCGTTTATTGTATTGGTGAACATGGGGACTTAATTATTGAGAAAAAACATGAAAAATGAGAGTAATATAATAGTGGGTCGAGAGTTCGAACAGTATGGAGCCACATTGATTGCCAAATTGTTTATGGGTATCCATCTTCTTTGTCTCTCTTCTTCTTATCTTGTTACAAATCGATCTTTCCTTTTGGTAATCCTTAAATTTGTGATAGTTTGGAATACAAAACATCTAATCTCAATTTTTTTAATAAAAAAAAATTCTTGAAACTTCTAAACAAGGTTCTGATAGGGGTGCAATTTTTTAACCATCCTAGAAGCACAGTGAGATTCAGATTTGCATACTGTACTGGTGTTGGATSAGGGTTAGAAATAATTACATATTTAGAGTTTTTCTTGTTGAAGATCTTTTGGTGCCGTTCATTATTAGAAAGAAAAACATACTATCAGATCAAATTAGTTTCTCCATACAAAATTACCAAAAGATTTTAATTTGATCGGCCCACTTCTTTTCTTTCTTTCTTTCTTTCTTTTTTTTTTTGAATCACCACATGATTAAGAATTAAATAAAAAATTCGGTCCGTATGCTGATATCAAAATTAAATTAGGATGAATCAAGGGTTTGACCGGGGTAGATCAAAAGGCTGAACAAAAAAAATGATAATTGTATTTGTGTTAGAATCTCAAATTTGATGGGGTTTTAAATGACATGTGATTCTTTTAAATCAAAAAAAGATGCTGTTGTATTAATCATGCCACATTTTTTCTTTACTTTGTCATACTCTTATTGTTAGCTTCAAATGAATGGAGGATTGTTAAAATGAAATGCTCTTCATTTCTTAGCTTCTCTGCTGAGTCAAGATGGAATCTCTTGGCTATTTATTCTTTACAACCCATAGTCATTGGGACTATTCTAGTTATCTTGTCTCTGCTACTTATCCTGAGAGTGTCTCAATTGTCCATGAGAAGATTTGTAAGGGAAAAAGGGCATTGTGTTGAAAAATCTACTGATGCTTTCTTTTCAAATAAAGCATAAGGTGTTTCCATTTCCTGCCATAATTCATCCATTGAGCGGATTGTACAGTCTTCTGAGAAACTTGGCCCAAGAACCTTCATTGGGTCTTTCCAAAGCAATGCCATATGATGCAGAAATGGATGCCTTGATATTGTAATATAACTTACATAACTATAAGAATCTTCACTTAAACTCGTATGTGGAAATAAAATTTTATCAAGAATATCTAGATTATAATCAGCCAGAAAATGAACTCTTCTTTAACATGGTAAACAACGTTCATGTCATTTCATCCTGATCTTTTGAATAGACTGGACGACTTCAAATATTGTACTATTCTTTACTGTTATGGTGTCTTGTCATGGAGTTTGAAATGAATTGGTAATTTAAGCCAAAGTCCTGGAGTTTTTTAATCCTTATCACAATGGCACATGGCCAACTTTATTCTCTTTGAGCTTCCTCCTACAGCTTGCAGTGCTGAATCTTCATATAGAAGGGAAAGATAAAACAAAGGCATAACATGACAGGTAGACTAAAAGATCCAGTCAAGATCCTCCCAATGTAATCAACTCCATTTGATATGTAGAACCTGGAGCAGAATTATAACTCTTGGGAGACAATATTGCAGAGCCAATTTATTCTATACCAGAAGGACCATTACTAAAACCAACGGATTCTTCCATGACTTCCCTCGTATCACATTAGGAAAGAATGTAACAACAAGAAGCCCTTAACAATGCTTGGAGAATGTTAGGTTTCTTTTCTTTTTTTTTTTTGTGTGTGTGTGTGGGGGGGGGGGGGGGGTGGTATTGAAATTTTACAAGTAATCTCAGCCACCTGTTCTTGGCGCACAATCAGGATATTATAGTTATGTTACTTCTAATATAATCCTACCTTGTAGTTGTCATATAGATTGTTAAAGAGTTTAAAAGAAAAACAAATACCTAAAACAACCCAATAAAACTTCTATTTTCTGGTACTTGAACAACTAGACCTGACTTCTCAAGGAATTGGTCACTGGGCATTTTTATGGTTATGGAACCTTTTCATTAGTAGATATCTAGACTATATTGAACATGAACTTTGTTTTTTACTTAATTTTATTCTGCACTAGGATTACTACCAAACAAGATTTTAAAGTTTCTGTTGTTATTATGGAGCAGATTAAACTGGGATGGCAAACTTGAAACCAGTTTCATTTACTCGGATAGAGTATTTACTTAACTAATTTCCCATATATTACTTGTCAACTTACATGCTCTCTAACTTAGCTCTTTCTGTTATGCTTCTCCATGATCTCTATTTCCGATGACCTAACCTGTAATCATAATTTAGCAGCAAAACTCCTGATATTAATCTCTTTAGGAAGTTTGACACCAAACTCAACATGCCAATCAATCGCAGCGACATATTCCTTTTTCTTTTATTTCTTTTGATGGGTAAAGTGAAAATATCTATTAAGACAATTTTCTGTCAGTTTTGAAGCTTACTTTTGTCTTTCAATTAAAAAGATGAGCATAAGTCTTCAATCATGCAGAAGGCAAATAATTTGTGGCATCTCTGGATATTGGTAACAAAGAATTGATTGTTTCACTGAACCATTAGAGACATTTGACGCCCATAAATGGTGCATGGCCTTTCTTTACAACAAAAGGAAAGTTTTGTTGAGCTTAAATTTCATGTTATCTTTTTATGGAATTATGAACCTGTTGTGAGATGAGCCAAAAGGTAAGAAATGAATTTCATGCAATTATAATTTGAGGTATCTTTAGGTGCTAAATTTTCTATTTTGAAACATAACTTTATGGATAGTTTCTTAAATTAAAGAATAAAGATAGAAAATCTTTATGGATAGGCTAATTGAGAAACAGAACAATGGGGGCACTCGTATCTGTGTTTATAAAATCTGTATACTGGGATAAACAGTTAGGGATGGGTTGAAAATTATAGAACTAAGATGGGTCAACAAGTTTATGACCATGTTAGATGTCTGAAAAACCCAAGAATTTCAAAGTTCAATTTCAAATAAGAATAATGATTCTAATTTATGATCCTGATTTTCTTAGAGGACCAGTTAATCCATTTGTGCTAAATAAGATGTAAATTATACGTATGCTCTGTTCAAGATAAAAGAATAATGTTAGTGATAGAGCTCAGTCTTTTCTTATGTTTGTTGATTTTAGGGTTTTATCATTGTTCATGTTGGCAATTTCGCAATGGACATTATTGACATTGAGAAGTATCTCAAATTCTAAAGATGTCCATAAGTGGACATTTAATGTAGGGTCTATGATGCCCTAGCAGAGCACAGACAAAACATGTGAAAGGGCCTCTTATGGTGAAATCATGAAATTGACCCAATATTTGTAATTATTGATTCTGGATGTTTTCTCATTCCTCTAAGAGGATACGTTAAATGCGATGCTTTATCTCATCTAATTGGGTTTCCAAAGTAGGTCCGTTAAGATAGTGGAGCCTAGCCTTCCTCTAAAATCGACAAAATGGAAAAGGCTTTCTGTTCTATGTGGGGGGCAACTCCAGGTCTACCTAAAATCTGACTTTTCTTCCTAGCTTCTATTTTAGCTTCTCCTAACCCTGGTTAAACCTTGGTTTGGGCTTTGAGATCAGTATCTTATAATTTCACTGAAACTTGACATGATTTATTTGTTTGTTTCCTTGTGTATCTTCCCCAATTTGGTTGTTCCAATTAAATTATTTCATCCCAACTTGGAGATTCTTTGTTCTTTGACAGTAAGCATATCCTTCCTACCTGACATAACTGAATTATTCATCATCTCTCATAAATACAGATGAAGAGCTAGCAACCACCAGCTGTAGGTTGGGTCAATATTTTCTGATCAAACATGAAAGCATCAAACTCTGAATTTGAAGCAGAAGTCTTGTCCGAAGATGAATCAGACATCAGCAGCCAAGTTGCTTCCAATATATATGGCCATGGAACCACTCCAGACCCTTCCAAGGATACCACCAACCCCTCCTCCTGCCTTACAAACCCCATGAAGCTTCAACCCAATCCAAGGCTTCTCTCCCTTGACTTAAGTCTTAGCTTAAAAAATAGTGATGCTGATTTAGGGGGCATGGAGTCAGTGGAGCTCTCACTATCTAGCACCACTGAATGTAGCAGCAAAGCTGCTGCTCATACTCCAGCCACCTTCCCAAGAGTTTTCTCTTGCAACTACTGTCAGCGCAAGTTCTTCAGTTCACAAGCTCTGGGTGGGCATCAGAATGCACACAAGAGGGAGAGAACACTAGCCAAGAGAGCCATGCGGATGGGAGTCTTCTCAGAGAGGTATTCCAGCCTAGCATCTTTGCCCCTACATGGGTCAGCATGCCGGTCCCTTGGGGTCCAAGCTCACTCCTCAGTGCACCACAGTCTTGCAGCACGAGAGAATCTGCCTGAGATGAGATCTGTTGCTAGGTTTGAACATGGCTACTTTGGACCACCAGTGTTCATGGAGGATGATGAGGCAGAGCTGTTTTGGCCTGGGAGTTTTCGACAAGTCCCTGAAGGAGTTGGTGGGTATCCAGGTTTTGAACTGGCAGGAAGCTCACCCTTGAATATTGTAACAGTAGCTTCAGTGCCAGAGGCAGATTCATCTCCACCAGATCTCACACTGAGACTATAAGAGGTTTCTTTCTTTACATTCAGTTGTTGCAACATTGTTTCTCTATGTATAGTGAGATAAATACAATCTATGGTGCAAGCTTTCTCTTCACCTCTGATTGGTGTTACGTAAGAGCTTCTTGAGAGGAAATTTCAGTTTCTGTGCAGAATGCTAGCATATTGATTCATGTTGTTTATATGGTTGAGATATCCAGTCATTCTGAAATTCTATAATCTGTTTTGTTATCTAGTCCATCTAAATCTCCTTTTGTTGTTACTTGATAGTAACTTCCATTTTAACTTTCAGATGATATGGTTATAACATCAAGGCCTTGAAAATTGTGGACCTAGTGGTGGATGCAATGCAGTCTTCTGGTCTCATCTGTTGGACCTGGATGTTTGGTAACTATCAGATTCATGGATGGGAGGTAGGCTTACAAGGTAATCTTGTGCCACTGTGCTTTGGTTGTAGAGCTAAGTGCTATACCATGCCTGTGTATTATTAGAATCTTACAGATACATTCTGTTAGTCCATCTTGAAGATTTTCTACACCAAAGTTCAGCCTTTGAATAATTTACACTACCTATGATGGATTTTGGTACTATGGGGAGACAAGCATGGAAGTCTTCCAGAAAATATCTCTTTTTGTGGCTAAAAAGTCCCAATCAAAGAATTTTGTCCAGAAGATTTGTTACATTGCATGGCTATTTGTAGGGTTTATATAAAAAAGGTTAGACAACACAATATCTTTGTCTTACATTCATAGGTAATTTGCAGTGCAAATCCAAATTATTTGGTGGTTGTGCAAATCAAATCTGGGTGCATAAAGCGTCCTTTTTGGAAAGATGATTTGGAAAATAAAAACGGATTCTCTATCTGCATAGTTTAGATGGACGATTTTGGAAAATTGAGTTCTCCATATGAGCTGCAAATATGAGAAGTTTAATTTACTGAACTTCAACGCTCATTTTGTCTTGTTTCTTCATTGTCACCCCAGTATAATCCATTACACTTGAATCTTTGAAAAAGGTTTTTTAGAGCAATTTCTAAAGCTTCAATTTTTCCCCCGTGTGGATCATAAATAATTGCTGAAGAGGTTTCTTTAACAGTTACGGAAAAAAGCACAATTTCTGAAGGAAAGGTAGGGAAAGGAAGGGAAAGGTAGAGAACCCATACAAGGTTTGTAAGGCTATGTTTGGTTTGAAGGAAAAGGTAGGGAAAGGTGGGGAAACCTATACAAGGTTTATAAAGGTTTCCCTACCTTTCCCTACTTCAAACCAAACACAGCCTAAAGGTTTCCCTACCTTTCCTTTCTTTCCCTACTTTTTCCTTTAAGCCAAACACATCCTAAATAAACCTCTAGGATGGTCTGAAACAGATCCTGGTTTCTAAAACTGAGTTGAAATCAAGAACAGATAATCTGGAAAGAAGAAAAAAAAAAACAAAAAGAATTCCTGGTAAGAACCCAAAAGAAGTTGCATTGCCATTCATTTAATGGAAGGTGAGAAGGTATTTTTCAAACTTCAGCATCACCCGATACCAAAGACTGCATTGCGACTTCTTGAATGTATAAACTATGTAGCCAAGTCGTTTCCAGAGATTTATATTATATTAAACTAATATAATATATAATATTTTCAGCAGGTTTATTATATTATAATTGGGTTAAACCCGATTGTCCGGAGAACTGATTAATTCGGTTTGGGTCTAAAATTAGGTCAGTTCCGGTTCTACCTGGATCCAATCCAGACGCGACCTGTTGACTGCCCTAAGAATTACTTCTTGAATGTATCAACTTATGTAGCCAAGTCGTTTCCAGAGATTGAGCCTACTTTCCCACTAGGGCATTTCTTCTTCATTCCATGAAGCTTTGGTTGAGTTTTGAGCAAATCGGATTTCATAGTAATGAGCCCACCTAAGGTGCAACTTGTGTGGGCCCAACCCAGGCACGGTCTGACCATGGAAAAGGATAGGTTGGAGTGTTGAACTGGGATTTGTGAGCTTAGGGCTGACATGGGTCTGATCTAAAAAGTTGGGCCTAATCCTGGGCCGGCCTGGGCTTGGTTTGAGGAACAATTTCTGGATCATTTACAACTTTCTTCAGTAAATAAACAACCCGCCTAGGTGCAGAGGTAAACGCCAGTAGAGTCATTATTAAACACTAATTGACTTTTCATTTTAGAAAACATTTATCCACTTTATCTCTAAATTCATCAATCATCATGCCAAAACTCCAAAACCGGACCAACCCAAAACTGGACCAGGTTGTGTTATTGTTTACTTAGGTTGGATTGCTTATATGGGCTGTCCCAGGGGGGGCCCACCTTGTAAAACCAAAAGCCACCACAGCAAAGCCCTCCAAATTATGTATTGCAGCAGGTTGGGAGTTCACTTTCGCTCATTCAAGGACGGACGAAAGCATCCGTCCCAAGATTTTTAATGGGCCAGCTGGATCTATTAATCCACGTCAGAATTGCTTGTCCCAATGCGTTTAAATGAGAAACGATTGGTTACGGCGTTTGTCTAACTATGTCAGGTTAGATCTAATTTGAATTACTCCAACTATTTTCAACTTTTACGGTTTACATGTATTTGGGTTTGAGTTTTTTTCCCAAAATAAAAAAGCAGAGAGAAGAGGGATGCCGAACTTACTCCTCCCCATCAGCCATCACCATTGCAGAGCACATGAAAAGCACAACCATTTCCATAATACAAACCGGTTAGCTTTTATTTTTTATTGTCTTTTTTTTTTTTTTTTCATTCTGGTTTCTGTTAGGCGAATAAACCTTTTCATTTCCGCCAATAACCCCTTTGTTTCTATTATTAAAACAAGTTAGCTTTAAGCCTTTAAACAAAAAATCTTCTTTGTTCTGCCAATAATTTCATCAAATTCTAGGTTTAATCTTTAACATGAATTGTTCGTCTGCCGATAACTTCATCTATAACTTACAAAAAACAACTTTGTTTTTAATGCATGAAACTATTTGTTTGTATCTCATCAATATATAAAGAAAAAGACAAGGGTAATATTTGGCTTGTTAACCTTGTGTTTCTTTCACATGTAGGGAGTTGTTAATAGATCTAAAACCATATTTCATTTTTTTTTTTATTTTTTGCTTGATATTACATAGTTTTCAGAATGGTGAGACAGGGTTATTGGCGTAACAGAAATCAGAGTGAAAAAATAGACAATAAAAAAATTAAAAGCTAACCAGTTCATATTACGGAAATGGTTGTGCTTCCTTTCTTGTTTTCTGCAATGGTGAGACAAAGGAGATATTGGCGTAACAGAAACCGGTTCGTATTACGAAAATGGTTGTGCTTTTCATGTGCTCTGCAATGATGATTGGGAGGAGTAAGGTCGGTCTCCCTCTTCTTTTGCTTTTTGATTTTGGGAAAAAAAAAAAAAAAAAACTCAAACCCTAATAGATTTAAGCCGTAAAAATTGAAAATAGTTGGAATTGTTTAAATTAAATCTGACGTCGTTAGATAAACACTGTAACCAATAGTTTCTCATTTAAACGTTGGGACAAGCAACTCTGACGTGGATTAATAGATCCAGCTGGCCCAATAAAAATCTTGGGATGGATGCTTTCGTCCGTCCTTGGGAGCTTCGGAGGTCTTATCTTTTTACCTTTTCTTACAATTTTTACACGCTGAACGATTAAGCCATTGGCTAAATTGGTAAACCATAGGCCGACTTTATGTCTGATTTTGTCCACTTACAGGACTTGTCCATGTATATCTGTGAACGGATTAAAGTAAATGATTAATAATATTGATCTAAATCAAGGAATATGAACAAAAAATATGAAAATGCTTGGATGTGCATACAAATTCCTTAAGTATATTAATACCATTAAGTTTAATACCAAAATAACTACAAATAATATATAAATACATAGGAAATGTATATTTCGATGGTATATATGAAGAAATACATTACAATTATTATAGTAGGATGCACAAATATCATACAACTTTATTTATAATACATTAATCAAGAGTCCAAGACATATATTATATACAAATTAATACATGCATAACCATTATTATTTTATTTTCTATTATACTCCAAGGCAAAAAAGAAAAAAATATGCAACCATTATATTTGAATTATTATACCAATTATTTTATATTTATCTTTTTTTTGTTAATTTTTAACATTAACAAAAAGGTCAACTAAAAATTTAATTCTCAAATGTTTGGTAAATAATATTTTTTACTTTTGTAAACAATAAATATGTTATTATAAAATGTAAACTAAAATATCGATTAATAATTTACAAAAATAAATATATAATCTTAAAATATATCAAATCTATTAAAACTTCAATGATACATATCATATGTAAATTCATAATTTTTAATTATAAAAACAACTATTCCATTATTAATATTAGTGGATTTGATAGATTCAATTTATATTATATTCTTAAATAATTTGTAAAAAATATTTTTTATTTTATAAATAATAAATACATTGTTATTTAATACAAATTAAAATATTAATTTATAATTTATAATTTTTTTAGATACATATCATACGCAAATTTATAAATATTAAGTGCTAAAATAATTATTTTATTATTAATATTTTCATTTGTATAAATTTCTTGAGGTTGAAATTCATTTTTTGATATAAATGTAGATTTGATAGATTATTTGCTTCATTGATTTATAAAATATTAATTTTAAATATTACTTTTTAATTTATAGTTGGGGTGGTTGAATATAATATATGTTGTTTATTTGATATAATATATGTTATTTATTATTTTAATTGGTTGTGGACATTAAATTGAATAAAAGTTAATCTATTTCATATATTATTATAAAATGAATGTCGGCTTAATGGTTAATGACACATATTCAGTATTGATGCCTTACGATACCGATACGACACACCCTATATCAGACGTGTCATAACGATACCTTAATCCTTGATCCAAATACTATTTTGATAAATTCTGTTATTGACGCAATGATAAAGGAGGGGAAGGGCCATTGGTTTATAAATTTGAATTCTGATGTTAGGAACAAGAAGGTTGCAAGGCTTGGACCAAACCAAAAACCGGTGTTTAACGGGTCACAATTATGCAGGTTAACCAGGTGATTGGCCGGTTCAACTAATAAAAATTATTATTAAATTGAGATTTGAAAAAGGTCACACCTATACCTCGTTTTTATGGTCGAACCATTTGGTCCGATCCAAGCCTTACAACATTGGTTAGGATTTAGGAATACCATATTTTTCAATGAAATAATCTTTATTTCTTTACTATCCATATTTTGCTTCACGTCCAAACCACCAAGCGAAAAGTCTAATGCATGTATTATCACGAACACAGATTGATAATATGGCTGAAGTGGCTGAACCGAATGGCTTATTTCAATGGATTGAATAATTAAATAACAAAATACCTGAGGATATGTTAATAAACCAAACTTCAGCTCTTGAATAACTTATATAAGTCATTCAGTTCATCCATTTCAGCTGTTAGTTACCAAATGAGTTCACCTAATTAATTAAAGAAAATGTCTCGGGCACTTTTCTCTCTAAATTAGTGCATGGACGAGAAGAAGTTATCTGACATGCAATAAATTTGCTCGGGGTTGTCCGATCATTTCCCACATGCGATCAGTTGAAGAAGGCTTGGGTCAACTCGGGCCAAGTAAATCGGGTA